ACAGAACCCACAGAGAGAGGACTACTGGACTTGCCTAAAGGTGAGATGGTCTTTCGGGGTTCCTGATTCATGAAAGAGTCTGTGAGACATTCTGCAGGACACAGCAGAAAATGACTGAACTGTCTTTGAAATTTCCTGCTTCATGGAAATGTCTCTGGATAACATGGGCCTGTAGGCCGAAGATGGATGCCCCAACGGTACAGAGGAACTTTGGGTGACTGTCCAGGCAGTGAGATGTCTCTGTCGTTTCTAGAGTTTTCTTATTTATTGTATACTTAGATAATATTATATCCTTCTGGAGTCTTTGATGGAGTTGAAGAATGGTTATAGTTTTCCTTAGTTATGATAAGAGATAAAATAGATATAAATATTGTAACTGTAATTCTTGCTTGATAACTGTTTTGTTGTATGTAATTTTACTATGTTAAAGTTAAAGCCTTTCTTTTTTTTGTTTAAACAGAAAAAGGGGAACTGATGTGGGAGTGATTTCTTACTAATAAAGAAACTGCCTCGGCCCTCATAGGACAGAAAATTAGGTAGGCGGAGTAGACAGAAGAGAAATAAGAAAAAAAAAAAAAAAGAAAGAGTCGCCATGATGCTCCCACTCCAGACAGACGCAGGTTAAGATCCTCTCTGGTAAGCCAGCTCATGGGCTACACAGAATATTAAAAATGGGTTAGAACAATATGTAAGAGCTAGCCAATAAGAAACTGGAACTAGCCGGGCCAGGCAGTGTTTGAAAGAATACAGTTTCCGTGTAATTATTTCTGGGTATAAACTAGCCTGCGGGCGGCTGGGTGCCGGGGACACAGCCCCGCCGCTCCTATTTCAACAGACTCCAACAGTGGTATCTTTTAAAAGTGTATAATTAGTAGAAAATTCCATGCTTCAGAACTCAGGGAATGACTAGCCTGTCTCCCATAACTAGGAACTATATAGACTTATCCTGTGTTTTTAAGTGTGAGCAGGTAGGGAATTTGGTGATTTCTGTGGCCTTTTCAAAACACAGCTTTGGTAAGCAGAGCTCTCTCTCAAAGGGAGCCAGGTGGTTTCTACTCAGGGATCCTAGTTCTCTCTAGGGATTGGACGAGACTAAACCCCCTTTCCTGCAGTTTCTGAGACATGAGGGTAGCCACCATGTGCACTATCCACCAGTTCTCTCCACATTGCCAACAGTTCTCACCCCCAATTGCAATGACAGCTTTTCTGTTCTCCCTCAAGACCTTGCCTTTCTTAAAACTTGAGCTTCCTCTTTAGTAATTCTATTTTTATTTAAAGGTTTTTTTTTTTCCATGTTTCTAGCCTCAGAGAATTTGTGACTTGAACAAAGAATTCCCCAAGATGCTATTCAGGTTGCAGAAAAAGAATCCACCCCCCTTGACTTGTATGATACTCGTGTGCAGTACAAGAGAAGAGTTGAAGATTCAGCTCAGTAGTCTCTCTTTTAGAAGTTGTTGCTGCTCTAAGAAACCTGTATTTGTCCTCTCTCTGGTGTCTTTCAGGGGGCATACCTCCCAGGACACCAAGCACTATGTCCTATTTATTATCTATTTATATTCCCCTCTTTTTCCCCAGCCAAATTGAAAGCTCCTTCAGGGATTGGAGTCTCATGAACCTCTGTGTTTCTAGTTCCCAGCACAATGTCTGGCACATGGAGGTATTTACATATTTTTCAAGTGAATTAATAAAGAAAACTACAAACCAACTCATAAACCCCCCCATTCAGTATAACTATAGGAACTGATGGAAATTTGAGAAGGAACTGGAAGTTCCTCAGATTCCAGAATCTTCTATTAACAGCATCAATAACAAAATCTGCAGCTTTATAAAGAAACTTCCCAAAGGTCTGGATCACAGAAAGAAATTTAGCCTCTATTGAATGAAACTGGTGAGCAATGAAAACATTTACAGTTAAAATGAAAGCAACCCCATGCAAGGTACTTCATAGAAAGCACAATGATTAAGGGCAAGGCTCTGCTGGAGACAGCCAGAGGCCTCAAGCATCAGCTAGGGAAGGGGAGGCTGAAGACTGAGCCAGGCAGGGGCGGCACTGCATCTCCGGAGCAGAGCAGATCAGGCTGAGATCAGAGAGAAATTCTAGGAATGGCCACCTCTCTCTCAGGCGTGCTGCTTGCTAAAGACCTCGAATTTATTTCATATTGCTGACTAATTGCTCCTCTGAGAGTACAAACAAAGCTTACTCCACTCGAACGTTTGTCGAACAGAAACCCAACTGCGAAAGGTTAGATGGTGATTCTTTGGTAGGCTTGGAAACACTGACTTGGAAGATTTTTCTGAGTATCTAACTTATGAAGATTTGAAATCCACAGCAAGTAATCTGTCTTTAATGACTGCAGAAACAGTCTACCTCCCAATGCACTCACACAAGGTGAGTACACACTTTAGGAAATCACAGAGAAGACAAAGGATGTGTACAACAGATTAAACAATTTCAATTTCTTCAGTTGAAGAATTTCAATTAAAAAGGATATTTGCTGAAATACAAATAGCTGGATTTATAGAGAAAACACAAATGCAGGAGCACAGGTAGGCTCTTCAGTTAGAAGTCTACTTTATTATTACAGGAGTATCTAGAATTGAAACAAACTCGCCAGAGTCTTTTGATGAAATAGGGAACATAAATTCTACACTTTGTCTTCAGACTCTGAGGAAGCCTGTGGATATTTGCCTAACGTGAAATGCTTGGCAAGCTAGTCTCACTTTAATTAGTCTGTAAGACTGGCATGGATTTCATGGAGAGCAAAATAAGTCTCCAAATATCTAATTAGCTGCTCAGTGATTAAACCCCACTCTCCACATTTCCTTTGCTTTTTAGTTTCATTTAAGACACAAAGAGCTGGCTTATTTTAGCATTACAGTCAGATATCTAGTTTATCAGCTTTAATCAGGGCAGGTGTGCAAGACAGGACTAATGCTTTTGCTTTTTTATCTTTTTGTTTTTGTTTTTCGAGACAGGGTTTCTCTGTAGCTTTGGAGCCTTTCCTAAAACTAGCTCTTGTAGACCAGGCTGGCCTCAAACTCACAGAGATCCACCTGCCTCTGCCTTCTGAGTGCTGGAATTAAAGGTGTCTGCCTCCACCGTCCAGCCCTCAGGACTAACTCTTGACACCTGTACATTTCAAATTCCTAACTCCATGTGTAAATCTCTACAATGGCGTGGTATTTAGCCATGCTGCGTGCCGTCAGTGCTCTCAAGAGTTATGAAAGGAGAGAGAGTCTAAGGAGGAAAAGCAAGTACGCAGAGGCTGGAGCAAATTAGCAGATTCGTGGGCTCCTCAGGAAGAAGCATACAGTCACCCTGAGAATGTGTGTCTGTCTAGAAACATGGACACTGACAAGGGATGGGTAGGCTACCATTTCTACCACCATTAAAGATGGTGTTAATCAGCTTTGGTTGAATATCAAGAGAAGATGGAAAATAAGGACAGACCGACTTCAGTTGGGGAGAGTGGCTGCCAGATATTGGGTATGAGAGGTTAAATTTTCAGGCTTTTGGGCAAGACTGATATAGGATATCAACAATGGGCAGCCACTAGCAAAGCCAAGGTAAGGAACTGAGGCAGAATGGCTGGTCAGGCTGAAACTATCCAGCTGTACTTCCCAAGACCTGGGCATTTTGGCCTCATCTTTTTAGGAACTCCATGTTCTCTCCTGTTTGCTTCCGTGTTCCTTCCTTTACTTGAAACTTATTAGGTTCTCGATGCCTCTTCAGTCTTCATGGTTTCACTAGAAGGTCATCGGAGTCTCCATGCCCCGAGCTTAGTTAGCTATACCACAGTGTCATTCCGTATCTCCTCTGTCCTCCCTTCTACACTGTGAATGCCACACATTTGGGAATCTTAACTATATCCTATGTCACAGATGCTGGAACCAAGTAATTTTTAGTTTATCCATGAACACATCAGGAGGAAAACTGAAGAAATAGAAAGCAGCAAGGAATATTCTCTTTCACTCATCAGAAATGTATCAAAGCAACCCACTGGAAAGTAGAGAGACTAATAAAGAGATTAGGCCCATAAAAATCTTCTGAAAAGTCAAACCAGAATATAAAGAAAAATATTTTGGAAAAAAAAGAAAAATATTCTGTTATAATAGTGTCCAGAGGCAAAATATTAATAACAGTTAAGTGTACGTTCTGTGTATCCTGGGCTTATGACATCCTCTTTAAAACAGGGACTGTTTCTTCCAGAACCTCTCACAGTATTCTTTCCTCATTTCAACAAGCACTCATCCTCTTAACTCTAAACAGCTCTGGCTATGTACAACCTCAAAGTGAAAGAGAAAATACATCTAATATCACAAGAGAAAGAGTCTTAATTCACCAACTCCAGTCTCACTTGCTGAGAACCTATAATGTTTCCGAGAGAATGCTAAATGATTTACTTGTCTTTAGTCAATAATAATCATTTTTAAGTGAGCATTAGTATTCTCATTTACTGACGTATGAAAATAGGAACTCCAAGAAAAGAACTGGACTTTTACAATAGTGGTGGAGCAGAGTTTAGGCCAGGTCAACTGGACTCCCAACCAGCTCTCTCCTCACTATCCTAACCTTCCTCTTGTAGGGACCATTCGCATAGGAAAGTCCACTGAAGTCAGAGACTCAAAATCCTTCCAAGGTTTGCGACTTCGTTCTCCATTTTCTTTCCTTTGCTTTCCACCTTCACCCCCACACAAGCACAGTCTACACACAGCACCCTAACTGGAAAACTGATGACAAAAGCTCCCAGGAAAAATGCACCACACCCCTCTTCCTCTAGGTGATTCTGGTCTCTGGATGGACAGAGAGAAGGCAGGATGCTTTCCAGTTTCTATTTCAAAACATGCAATAAAAGGAGTGGAACTTTTGTTGTTACTGTTTTGTTTTGTTTTGTTGTAAGACACAGAACATTTGGAGTCTCTAGTACAGAACAGCTTCACATTTCCTTCTTACAGGGAACAACTTGATGCCAAGGGAAGACTAAGAAGCAAAGACTCACCCGCTCCATCTCCTTGAAGTCATCATCCAGTTTGGTGCCTTCAGCTCCCCCGACCTTCTCACTCACTTTCTGCAGAAGGTAACAACAAAAGGGAATCATTAGAAACAGTTTCTTTCCTTTACAAAAGGTGTTAAAAGTTTCCAGCACTCTTAGAGACAGCACCTAACTGAACCTTGGAGCCATTCTCTGACTTCAGTAGGCAGTTCTGTTTTCAAAGCAGCATAGCATTAGCTTAGAGTGGTAAAACAACATCCTACAGGTCATGCATCTGATGGGTACAGGAGCAGGAATTCAAACCCGCATCTTCTTATTTCAACTCCAGTGCTCTTTCTATTATATAACTCACTTTCAACTACCTAATTGCTAATATTTTTCTTTGTAAATCCTAAGGTACAGCAGCACCACAAGATAATCATTTGCCTCCGATAATGGATCTAAAATGCTCCTAGGTAGAAAATTGCTACTTGTTCAACCTGCTCCTCATGGGCTATTGAACAGATAATCACAAGCATTCATTTAACTATTAAGAAGAAATGAGCCCAGATGATTCCAGATAAAAGGACTTGCTATCTCCTCTTCCTGTTTATATCTTCACAATTGTGATGAGCTATATCAAACTATGTTGAGGGATTTCCTTGCTACACAATCACTTTCAATACTGTACATCTTTTAATTATCAATTGACATGTGCAAATTATCATAGTTCACATACAAAATTCACATTAAGAAAAATGTATGTACTAATCTTTTCTGAAAAACAATTCAAATTAAGGATAATAAAAATATATGATGAGATCACAGAAAGAAATGGTTTTATCTCAAAGACAGGATTATTGACTTTTTTAAAATACCCTAAGTGTAAAGGTGGATAAATGTTTTTCCCCAAGACATCACTGTAGTATAAAAAGTCCACCCACACAGATAATGAAGTATGAGGTCTAACTTCCTTCACGAGCTGCTTGACTGAGAGGAGCCCATGTGGTTTGCCTACAGCAAACTTCAGAGCAATGTGGATTTTCTCAGTGAGCTTGGTTCAAGTTTCCTAAAGTGGCTTCTGGAAACCTAGCTCCAACTCCTGGACTGAAAGTCCTAGCAGTCTCTTGCTGGTCCCTGAAGTGTGTTTCTTACTTGTTCTTTCTCTCTGTCCTTCTCTAGGTTCTGCCAAGAGGAAAACATTCCGAAGAGACTACCCTTATTGTACGTAAGATGCCGCTATTTACTGCATCAGCAGTAACAGAATACAGCGTGGGATAGAATATTCCCAGATGAGGTACAGGGAGGTGTCATAAAAATTATGAGGTATCCAGGTCTAGTGTGTGGAGGTGGGTGGCCCTTGGACTTCCCACAGGGCAGGGAACCCTGACTGCTCTTTGGGCTGACGAGGGAGGGGGACTTGATTGGGGAAAGGGGAGGCGGCGGTGGGGAAGAGACAGAAATCTTTAATAAATAAATAAATAAATAAATAAATAAATAAATAAATAAAAATTATGAGGTATAATAAGAAACTACATCTGAACCTACAATTTATATGACAAACTCTACTCTCTAATAAAGTGCACACCTGCTTCTAGCACTCTGGTTTCTTACAGCAGTTTATTTAACTTTCATTCCATATTCTGAGAAGCCAAAATTTCCTTAATATGATCATAGATAAAGATCAATGATTTAAATGGAAAGATTAATAAAAATAATATCAATAAGTTTGTGTTACTGTCACATTTCTTAAGTGACAGTAATTTAGTTCATATTTCAGCCCTTCTGTCTCATCCTCAAAATATATAGTTGATCACTACTTTGGGGCAAGCAAACTCTAATCTACTTGAAAGCATAAACAATAAAGAAATATTTGTTGGACAACTATAAGTTGCCATCTCTATTCAATACAACTATCTCCAATGTTAGAAAACCTCACTGTTCCCAAAGTCTCATATTGTCAGGGAATTATTATAATCGGACCTCTCATGTGACCTGTAGCTGAGGTCACGGGTCCTCATTTATTTGCAAAATAGATACCAAAACATATATCTAAGAAATACAATACCTCTATGTGTATTAAAATGAGAGAATTCTCATTTAACAGTCCAGTTTTGACCAACTCTTAAAAAATACATAGTATTCATGCAAACCATAAGAATTCAGGTTACACTTTAAAAAACATATTGTGCAACTAAGAACTGGCTTTATTTCCCTTCTTTCTGTATCCATCAAATGCCAAGCACCACAGTAGCTGACTCTAGATATCAAACGTGCAACAAGGTCATGCTAGTGACTGGTAACTCATATTGACTCCAGCCCACTAGTCTACTGGCTTCAGATATTTTATTTACAAAGCATGCCCAAAAGTGGGTGGAGAAGGAAAGAGGATACAGCTAGACTAGGGTCAGAAAAAAATATTACTTCTTCTACCAATACTGACATTTAGGCTTCTTTGAAATGGTTTGCCACACAAAGTGAATGAAGCTAGCACGTTCATACTGATGTTCTATTAATTGGCTGGTTGTTACACAGCATTCTTATTGAGTTACATTCCTGAGAGGGAAGCACTACTCAAAATAACTTCCACATTCTCTTTGATATTTTCCAGGTCACAAAGGATCTAAACATAACATGGCACAGAGATAAACACTGAGCTACTTAAATGATAATTAATTCATTACATTGGAATATGGCAAATAACTCCTTTTGTTTTAATAAATGCTACCAAAAATTAACATCTCATGAATAAGAAGCAAGGTAAGGAAATAGATCTCTTGAGTTGATATGACCAATGATGAAGGCTTTTGGATTCATCACCAGCTAACTATTTATTTTGTGCTTTAATTTTTCACAGAAGTGGATCCTAAAATGAAAATATAACAATAGTATAATTTAGTATTGTCATATTATTTTAATATTCTGTCTTTTGAAAACTTGCTCGCTCATTTAAATAAGCTAAGAAAAACTATTGATTCAAACAGAATAGTACAAAACTGTAGACAGAAGTTTCTGTCCCACCTGGTCTTACAGGTGTTCAGTCCAAAAGAAACACACAGAGGCTTATATTAATTATAAACTGTTTGGCCTATTAGCTCAGGCTTATAATTAACTAGCTCTTACAACTTAAATTAATCCATAATTCGTGTCTATCTTTAACCATGTGGTTTGGAAACTTTTGTCAGTAAGGTATTCTCATCTTGCTTCCTCTGTGTCTGGAAGACAACTGCGTCTCTGCTTTTTCTCTTCCCCAAATTCTAGTCTTGTTGCCCTGCCTATACTTCTTGCCTGGCTACTGGCCAATCAGCACTTTATTAAACCAATATGAGTGACAAATATTTACAGTGTACAAGACACCGTAAATCCCACAGCACAAGACAGTCAACATTCTATTTGTAACAGTTACAAACCTAAAAAACAACTAACTACAACTCTCCAATGTCATCTGAAAAACCTATAATGTTGAAGTAGGAGCGGCGGGAGCTGCGTCCCCGGCACCCGGCCGCCCGCATGGCTAGGTTATGCCCCGAAATAATTACACGGAAACTGTATTCTATTAAACACTGCCTGGCCCGGCTAGTTCCAGCTTCTTATTGGCTATCTCTTACATATTGTTCTAACCCATTTCTAATATTCTGTGTAGCCCACGAGCTGGCTTACCAGGGAGGATCTTAACCTGTGTCTGTCTGGAGTGGGAGAATCATGGCGACTCCTTGACTCAGCTTCTTTTTCCCAGAATTCTCTTCTGTCTACTCTGCCTACCTAATTTTCTGTCCTATGAGGGCCGAGGCAGTTTCTTTATTATTAACCAATGAAAGCAACAGATAAGATACAAGACCCAACTCCATCACTATAACATCAAGGGTTCAAGATGGTCAATAGTACCTCTTTGGCATAACAGTAAATTTGTGTTTCTAATTGTCTCTGTCACTATACCTCTACTAATACTGTCTTCCAACCAATCAATAATTTTTTTAAATTAAGAAAAATTCAAACCAATTACCATCCTTCTCTCACATACTCTTGATTAGAATACCTACGAAAAACTTAATAAAGATTTGCCAAAGTGAGCTGCAATGTGAATTCTGCAGTGAACATGAGAGAGGCAAATAAGAGACTGATCATTCTTGGCTGTCTTTCAGGAAGCACAGCCTTTCAAGAACAACAACAGTCAGGTCTAGTTTACATCTAATTCTTAATTCTGACTCTGCACAGTCTCAGGGTGTTGTCTATCTGCTAAGTAAGCATAATGTGAAGGTTAATCAGCTACAAGAGACAACTTCAGTAAATAACCGCTGTCCCTAGTCCAAAGGATGCTGACCTGCTTTGCAGCAGTGACTCATCAGCCCTCCAGCCACCTGTCATCTCCAGACTCCATCCTCTTAATGCAGCTTTGATCTTGGCCAGTGCTACATTTTATTTACCAAACATGTAAGAACCAGCTATCTAGTGCCATAAAAATGCACATTGGTCTTTAGACTCCTATACCTCTTATTTAGGCCCTAACTTCTTTATTTACTTCTATTTTTGTTCAGCTTTATCCCCCAATATTATAGGATATTTGATCACACTGTGAACCCTGATATTGTGTTATTTACTGGGAAAAACCTGTTTCTAGTTGTGGTATGACAACCCTAGCACACATCTTTAATCAAAGAACTTTCCGCTTGAATATTGTAAACAGGATTAAATAAATTCAACCATAGATTAAGAGGTAGAACAAGTTGACAAGAAGCAGCCACATAGAGTAGAAGAATGGATAGACACACACAGGAAGTAGAAGGGAGAGATGTTCAGTTTGAGGATGAATTAGATATTTGAGATGGTGTAGGAGAAAGCTTGCCTTCTGGAATGTTGGCAGAAGATGAAGGTCAGCTGGGTGTTTTCTCTCCCCTCTGAGCTATCAGGCTTTTACTCCAGCATTTGGCTCCTGAGTTTTTATTGGTAAAATTGAAAAATTGAGATATAGTAAAAAAAAAAATAACATTCCACTGTCTATCATACAAAGACAAGTTTCTTTGCCATATACCAAACATGTTGTGTTTATTTCTTCTGCTTTATAACTTGTACCTATTTCCTTTTCTGTTCTTCAAATC